CTACATTTTCTTTGGTCTTCCTCTTACTTCTGACATACTTGTGGAATCCCTTTTATTGCCTTTTATAACCTTTGCCAGTGCACCTCACATTGTGCCTTGGTCTTCTTGATTTTTCTCCCTGCACATCAGTGCAATATTTCTATAGTCTTCCTTAGTAAAATGACCAAGTTTACACTTTTTGTAGTATTTCTTTTTGAGTTTCATTGAGATTGCTGCTTAGTCAGGCCATTTTCCTGTTGCAATTCCCACTCTTCTGTTGCATCCGAATAGCTTGTTTCTTCAGCCTTAATAGGACCTCCTTAAAGTACAGTCATCTGTCCCAGACTCCTTTCCCCTCAGACCTGCCTCCCAGGGGATCCTGCCTACCTTTTCCCTGAGTTTATTAAAGTCTGATTTTTTTAAGTCCAGTGTCTTTATTCTGCTGCCCGTAGGATCTTGAACTCTATCGTTTAATGGTCATTATCACACAAGTTACCTTCTACTTTCACATTCTTTAACCAGTTCCTCCTGTGTACTGCTGTTTCCCTCCTAGCAGATGTCACGGTTATTAAAAAGAATCATGAGAACCAGGTCCTGGGATTTAGAAGCTTTCACCAGTTGTTTAAAGTAGGCCTTGTCCGCCTCATCTTCCTGGTTTGGTAGCTTGTAGCACATGCCCACCATGACAGCCCCCTGCTGCTGTTCCCTCTGACTTTCACCCAGAAGCTTTCAACAGACCTACCTTTCAGTTCATACTGCACCCCAAAACACATGTACATCTCTTTTAAATATCAGACAACACCTCTTCCTTTTTCTCCTACCTGTCTTTCCTGAACAGATTATACTGATCCATGACAGTGCTCCAGTCATGTGAACTATCCCACCACAAATCTGTAATCCCTTAGATCATACTTCTGAGAATGTACTAAGATTGCCAGTTCTTCCTGTTTATTCCCCATGCCTTAGTATATAAACATTTCAGATAACTGATTGCCCTGTTTTCTCCATAGGCACATTGCCAAAGCTTTTACTTTTGCGTCTCCTTATTTATTTTTTTTTCAGGTCCTCTAGCTCAGGGTTGGCCAGAATTACTCACCCTAGGAGCCACATCTGATCCCCTGTGGAAGTTCAAGAGCCAGAGAGTGAAGGGGCAGGGGCGGTGCTGAACGACCCAGAGTGGAACAGGGAGGCGGGGGGTGCTGAGCAACCGGGAGCTGCTCCAGCTTCCCCAAGGGGAGTGCAGACTGGGGTAAGCAGTGCAGCTGCAGCTGCAGCCACTGCCCTGGCAGCCCAGTGCCTGAGCTAGCAGTCCTGGGAGAAATAGGTGGGGCTTCGGCCTATTTTTGGCAAGCCACACATATAGTGTCGGAAAGCCACATGTGGCTCCTGAACCACGGTTTGGCCACCTCTGCTCTACCTCTTTACTTACCTCTTGACTTTTTTCTCCATTCCCTGTTGAACCTAATTTAAATTCCTCCTTACTAAGTTAGTGATCCTATATGCAAAAACAATCTTCATCAGATGGACCCCATCTTTTCCTAGTAATCCTTCTTTTTGCAACATCACCCTATGGGTGAAGAAATCAAAGCCTTTCTGGAGATATCATCTATGCAGCCCCATGTTGATCTCCAGGATGCATCTGCTCCTACACAGGCCTTTACCCTTGACTAGAAGGATCAATGAGAACACCACGTGGAATCCTGTACACTTTATCATTGTATCCAAAGCCATGTACTCACTTTTGATCTGCTCAAGGTTGCCCCTGGCAGTACCATTAATTGTCAGAGGGATAAATGAATGTTTGCAACCTTTCTGTGACATCTTGGAGATGGGCTCCTGGCAGGCAGCAGACCTGCTGAGCCAATAGATCAGGCCAGCAGATGGATGCACTTGTGCCCTGCAGGAAGGAATCACCAACCACCACCACTTGTTGCAGTAGTGACATGTAGGGGGTGAACGGGGGTGCATGTGCACCCCCGAGGGCTCTGGTGCACCCCCTGACTGGCTGCATGTGCCACTCAGGCGATGGGCGGGGGGGAGTGCTGGTTCCCACCCTGAGAGTGCTGGCCAGGGAGTGGAAGTGCCCCCTGCCCCCCGGTTGGCGAGACTGACCATGGAGAGAACCTCCCCTGGTAAGTGACTGGTCACTGGGGGGCACGTGCTCCCCCTGACTAAGGTGGCACCAGTCACCCCTGACCTGTTGCTTTCTTTTGGTGGCAGTGGTCTCAGTCCTCCCACACCTTGGGGTTCATGGCTTGGCCTCTACTGCCACTGGAGTAGATTCCTCCTTGTCTGACATCAGGGCTTTGAGGACCTGTTCTTCACCTGAACTGCTGCAGGTTCAGAGGAGGAGTTCTGTCTGGTGCCAGAAGTAAGAAGCTACCAGCTTCCACCTTCCTCTCCAAGTCTTTTTTGTCTTCCAATGCCTTCTTGGCCTATTCCTCTTCCATGATGCTGGAAGTCTCATTGTGCACCAACATGATAAAGACCTGATGATCATGGATGCTTCTGAGCCTAGCCACCTCCCCTTAAAGCTCCCTTACCTGATTTCTGAGAGAATCCATCAGGAGGCCCCACTCATACTGCAAACACCCCCTGAACCTGGATCATCTTTAGCAGGGATAGTCAGGTTGCAGCTTTGCAATGCGAAGCTATGATCTGGGATTGTGGTTTGGTGGTTGGTACTTCACTTGGACAGAGCTCACATGGGTACAGGCAGAGGAAGACCTGGCAGTGGCAGGAGCTTTAGCACTTCAACATCTTCCACCCATCCAGTTGACCCTTTTGCTAGCTACTTCTTCCTCTTCTGCTGCTATTTCCTGAAAAATCTCTCTTTCTCCTTTGTCTTAATGGCAGTCTTCAACTACCTGAAGGGGGGTTCAAAAGAGGATGGAGCTATACTGTTCACAGTGGTGGCTAATGACAGAACAAGGAGCAATGGCATGACTGTCTGGTACCCCTTGAGTCAGGGGGGGCATAGGCCCCCCCGACACCAGTCAGCAACCAGGGGGGGAGCCATCGCAGCTGATCTCACTCACTGTAGTGGCCACTTCCAGAAGCAGTGTAGCCACTTTTGCTGGTGGCCTCGCTCCCCCACCAGTGCTTGCAGGGGGACACTGGTGCTCCTGCCTGCCCCCTGCCCGCCAGCTAAAAAGGGAGCTCAGCCTGACACGGGGTGCACCGGTGCTCTCAGGGGGTGTACATGCACCCCCTATGCACTGCGCCTGAGCAATGGTCTCACCTTGCAGCAAGGGAAGTTTAGGTTACATTAGGAAGAATTTTTTCACTTGGAAGGTAATAAAACACTGGAACAGGTTACTCAGAAAGGTGGTAGAAGCTCCATCCTTGCAGGTTTTCAAAATCTGGTAGACAAAGCTTTGGCTGGGATGAACTAGTTGGAGATGGTTCTGCTTTGAGAAGGGGGTTAGACTAGATGACCTCCTGAGGTCCCTTCTAGCCCTAATTCTCTATTATGTGTTTGCTATTTGTTTACATAGAGGAAGGTATAGAGTACTCTTGTAATGCCATAATCATGTGGCACATTTCTTGCTGGCAGTACTCTGTTAATTCCTGCCCACACACATTCTGCACTAGGAATTACTGCTTGGCTTGGCTAGACCTAACACATTCCACCACGTAGCAGGCCTTTATAGTGGAGACTGGAGACTACATCTCACCCCCAGAGAAAGACAGCCGTTTACGTAGTTGTACTCTCTTTTCTCAGAAGGCCTTACTTCCACTTTGCAGTTACATGACACCTCTTCATCTCCTAAACATCTGCCCTTAAAAAGGGCCAGAAATCAGAGCAACTTTGTGTGTGCTATCCTTAGGGGGGCAGTCAGCTCCTGGAGGGGACAAGTGTTTCAAGACCCTTTTCCTTCTGATCTGTCCCCTGTGCATGAGATTCACTTCCACAGGCACAATGTCTTGTCTTTCCACTCCCTCATTCTGCTATGGAACCTACAAGAACTTTGCCAGTTAAGGTTTTTCCCCTTATTTATTCTATGATGAATATTTTAATTCTACTAAAACCAAGTGGCTCCGTCAGTTGTGCACAACCCTTGCAGATTATCTATGCAAATGTAATTGATTATTACAATTCTTTCTTTTCTTCTCCTTCAGAATATCTTATTTCCCACCTAGTTGTGTCATGTCCAAGATCAGTTTACATGCTCCTCAGTTTACAAACTCCTCAGGGGCTTTGTACTTTGTCTTGTTTGGGAAGTGCCCAGCATGTTGCAGATACCATTAAAATAATGAGGACATTCCCAAGGAGCGCTGGTTTGTAGACTTATTTATTCAACTGATTGCAGGCACCAAGAGAAGGCTCAAACCTAAGACAATATGAAACATACTACTATATCACTTTAATCTCTCTCACAATTTTTACAGGCCTAGTTCATATTAAGTTAATCTTTTCATTTTCTTGCTGGTCTCTAACATGTCCTAAAGACAAATTTGGGGAAAGAATACACCGTACAATACATGACGTTTTACTTAAAAGTACCTAGACCCTTGTACAATACTATGGAGTGCAGCAAATTAAACATAATAAAAAGTTTACTCATTGCTTACCAAAGTAAAATGTTCTTTTACCTACTTATCTGTCCATTCACACTGCATAGAGTGCTAATAATAATCTGTTATATTTCAGGTTGTTACCACTGAAAATCCCATCCTGGATTATGAAACTATGCCACATCTCTTTGATCTGCAGATCTATGTTATGGATACAGCTGGGGCAACTGACCTTCAAACACTTACTGTCAAAATAGAAGATGTTGATGAAGCTCCTATGTTTCAAGGCAATATGGCAACACAAAGTAAGAGGACTGCTTAAAAGGAACTGTGGAGATGAATACTTGAAATAGTGACAAACATTAATTGCTAAAGATTACAGATAGAGTGTACAGCAATGCCTCTGGTTGAATATTTCCATTTTGGAGGGTTATTGTTGTTATCAAATTTGTATATTTTCAGTTCATATTTGGTACAATTGATCTTATTGAGGAGGTGAAAGTCTTTTGAGATATGCACCAAAATATGATTCTTCCATTTTCAAACATTGAAAAAGTGAAAAGAAAGAACTATTTGTGCTAGAAATATTTTATGATTTATTTTTGATTAGCTGAAGTACATCAGTGGTTGGTATTAGAAATTCGAAGTTTGACAGGGACATAGTCACTTCGGGTGCTTACACAAGTTACATTTTTGGTGTGACTGGGCCTCTGGAAGACCTCTACAGCCACAACATAACACAACTGCATGGCTGAAGAGTGCTTTTAAAATGGCCAGTTGCATGAAAAATTAACCCTTGTCAAATAAGCTGTTAGCTGAAAGCATTATAGAACCCAACGCCTTCACAGACTCATAGATGCGAGATCCTCGAGTCCCACCCTGCCTCGGCAGGAAAGAGTGCTGGGGTCACATGACCCCCAGCCAGATGCCTATCCAGCCTTCTCTTAAAGACCCCCAAGGTAGGGGAGAGCACCACCTCCCTTGGAAGCCCATTCCAAATTTTGGCCACCCTTACCATGAAGAAGTTTTTCCTGATATCTAGCTTAAATCTCAGTTTGTGACCATTGTTCCTTGTTACCCCAAGAGGTGCCCTGGTGAACAAAGCATCTCCGATCCCTTACTGCATCCCCCTAATGCTGGCTTGTCCAACATATGGCCCGCTGAGGCATTTTCTGAGGCCCGCGGTGCTGCCACAGGAAAGGAAAGTAAACACGGTTTACTTTCCTTCCCACCCCGTGTCCCTCCCCAGCCCCTCAGCACCTTCCTCGCGGCTGCTGAAGGGCTGCGGAAGGGACAAGGCTCGCCACGCCCCGCGTCACTCGCCGTTGCCGACGCGGTGGTGCGGGAAGAGGAGGAGCCGCGCGCCCTCGGGACAGGACGAGCCCGGCCGGAGCAGCCGGGGCTCAGCTGCACTTTCCGCACCTGCGCCGGTCAGTCCCGAGCGGCACCCGGCTCCGCCGCCGCCTCTGGTGCCGCCCCGGGGGGCTGTCGCAGCCGGAGCAGCACGCGGCTGAAGGCGGCTTCCCACGTGCTGCTGGGGCCAGGTCGGCACCGGCCAGCAGAGGCGGCGGCGGAGCCGGGTGCCGCTCGGGACTGACCGGTGTAGGTGGGGAAAGTGCAGCTCAGCCGCTGCCGCTCCGGCCGGGCTCGTCCCGCCCCAGCAGCACGTGGGAAGCCGGCGCGGGGGGCTTCGGCAGGCGGGGTCCTGGCGTGACTTGCGCGGGACGAGGCGGCGGGAGCCGGTGTCTGCCAGACCTCGTGCTCCGGGCTCGCAGCGCTGAGGCCACCGGGGCTGCGTGGGCGGGAGGGCGCTGAGGGGCTGCGGGGCAGCCGCTGCCTCGCTCCAGCCCCCCTCAGGCAGCGCCGGGTCGTGGGGCGGCACTGCTCGGGGGATGGGGATGTGGAGCTATTTATTTCTCCCCTTCAGTCTCTGGGGCAGGAGCTGGCTGGATGCAGAACGGGTCCCTCCTGCCCCTGCCCAGCAGCTACCATGCCCCTTGCTGTAACGGACAGGTGCAGTAGGGCTGCACAGGCAGGGTGTCTCTGGCCCAGGACAGAGGGTGTTTGAATATGGCTTGGCGGCCCACTGGGTGATAAAAAGTTCATGATCTGGCCCCACGTTCAAAAAGGTTGGACACCCCTGCCTTAATGAATTTGTAAGCAGCCACAAGATCATCTCTCAGCCTTCTCGTGTGGAGGCTGAAGAGGTCCAGGTCCCTCCGTCTCTCCTCATAGGGCTTGTCCTATAATCCCCTAACCATATGAGCGGTCCTCCTCTGGACCCTCCTGAGTCTATCAACGTCCTTCTTGAAGTACAGCGCCCAAAACTGGACGTA